TTATGTACTTACCGTTGAAGAAGTAATTTCGTCTGCTTTGCAGAAAAAAGTGGCAAAAAATGTGATACGGCTATTGTAGAGTTCCTTGGGCACGGACTTCCACTTGAGCGTCGGCTCGGGTGGTGGCTTCTTTATATTGCCTGCCATGAAATACCAGACAACAAGAGTCAGAAGGGTTAATAAAACCGGTAAACAAACAAACATATGGGCGGCATGTCTCACCTACGGCACCGATGCGGTCGGGCTCGGGCAGGTAAGCGTCGAACGCTGAGCAGCCAGGAGGGAGGAGAAGCTGCAGAACCCCCTGATGTGGAACACCGATGACAGGCGGATCAGGAGGGGACCAAAGAACGGGAGGAACGGGAGGCGCCGGGGGAGTCGGAGAGTTAGGAGGTGTTGGAAGAGTGAAAGGAACGGGAGGCACGACTGGGTGTGTTGGAGGGACAGGCGCAGGGCGCCTCTACCATTGCGAATAGTCATGGTTGTCTCTGTTGGAAACAAGTAATTTAAGCGCTTCTGTTGTGTGTCGAAACACTGAGTCGCAAACGAGGCGAAGCACAACGAAGCATCGGCAAGTCAACACTTGGAGGTTGAGAAGAAAAGCAACCGCTGGAGGTTACGCGAAAGTCAAAGGTCAGCGACCTTTAACCTGACAAATACAGCGCGGCAGCAAGGACAAACAACTGACTCGTTACTAAGCAGTTGTCCGAGTCGGCACTGTATCGAACCGCAACAGCAACAGTAAAACAGTTATTAGTTGTATCTCTTCGTATTCCTTGTACTCTTATAAAAGCCTTATATTTCCTTGTCTTAATCAATTTACTTTGCCCTCACATACCAGCGCAAGGTGGTTCAAGGACTTATCAGTAAACGCTTCCGCTATTACAACTTCCTGCTCAGAGTTTAGCCCTGCAAAGATCCTAAGGGATTTTTCTCAGCCCAACATGGTATGAGAGCTATCAGGGCAAACTCAACCACTATCAAGACACCTACAACAACAGAAGGCATGGCAACACAAAAGGAGAGAAGTTCCTGTAATGGTTCTCCCGGCACTACTCCTACCCCACCTCCTGCCTCTGGCCTACAGACAGAGGAGGGCACGGCAACAAAACAAGCAGCTAGGTCCCCCGAAACTCCCGCAAATCGAGCCGCGGGCTTCGACCCAAGCATGATGGAGAAGTTCTTCTCCTTCATGTCCTTCTACGAACAACACCAGCAAGGGGCACCTGCGCAGTCAAACATCAGCAACAACAACTACGATGTGACACCGATGAGTCTCGACGGTTCATCCTACGCGCGAGGAAATCAGCAACAGCAACCTACCTTTGCCCCGTACGAACCCCAGCGCGGTTCCGTCAGCTTCATGCCGCGCCAGCAGCCTTCACCTAAGCAAGAGAAGACATTGGATGCACTTCACGTTCGGTCGCAGTTTGCACACGTCCTAAAACTGCAAACGTCAAGGCCATTCGACGGTAAAGAATTCTTTACCTGGTCATTCGAGTTCGAGCTGATGATGGAAGGCGCGCAAATACTTGGATTCTTCGACGGGTCCCTGCCATACCCAACACACGGGACGCAATATGACAAGCAGCAGTACAGATATCAGTCCATGATGGGGTACACAATTCTACTGCGCAACATTACACCGAACCAGCAGCAGAACATCCGGTCCTATCGGGGATACGGCAACTCCGCCGAGCTTGCGTACAACCACTTGAAGAACCTGTATCAAGCAACAGACAGCGTCTATCAGAGTCGTTTAATGGCACAGCTGACAACAGTGGAAATGAAGCCTGGCGAAAAGGGAATGGCGTATATCAACCGTTGTCGCGAATTGCGCGACAAACTTCTTCGATGCGGAGGCTCAATATCTGAAGACGCCTTTGTGGCAGTCATCATCGGCGGCCTCGGTCCTCAATGGCACTCCACACGAGCCATCCTCCGAGCCCACGGGAAAATATCTGAAGCAGCACTTTGCGCCGAGATTCACGCTGAGCAGCAAAACATGGACATGCAAGAGGAGCGGCACAAGAAGAACAAGTCAGTACCCGAGTTTGCGTTCAACACTCAACGGCGCTACAACAACAACAACAACCAGCACCAATTAAAACCCGTACCTCCATTTTGTCAGAATATGTTGTTTGTGTAGCCTGCAGTGGGGCACTCAATAGTGAGTACAGCCCCTTAGGGTTTGTTATTTGTATCCTGCTGCTTGCTAGTTCCATCATTCCTTCTCAATTCTATTCGTGCACACAATCCTAGCTCGCACTTGGCGCCTCCTCGTTCTAGTCCTACTGTGGCCTAGGCTTCTAAGCCTAGGCCGTACTGCTACTATCTTTGACATGGTATCAGAGGGCGGCATGTCTGCCGCCTTCCTGTGTATGGGCCCACCACCCGCTTCCGCTGCCGTACTGTCCGCCGCGCGCCACGTGGTGCGCGGCGGCGAAACCCTAATTTCTGCCCGCCGCGCGCTCGGGGCGCCTGGCGGGTTTCCCTTCCGTGGCGCCCGTCGTGGTGCTCTTGGGGGGGCCTCCGCGGTCCCCTCCCGTCGAAGCGCCCGTCGAGGCGCTCTCGGAGACCCGCGCGGCCTCCCCTCCCGTCGCCCGTCGAGGCGACCTCGGGGACCCGCGCGGCCTCCCCTCCCGTCGCCCGTCGAGGCGACCTTGGGGGCCCGCGCGGCCTCCCCACCAGTCGCCCGGCGTGGCGACCACGGGGGCCGTGCGCGGCGCCCTCCCCGTCACCCGTCAAGGCGACTTCGGGGGCCGTGCGCGGCCCTCCCCGTCGCCCGTCGAGGCGACTTCGGGGGGCCCGCGCGGCGCCCTCCCCGTCGCCCGTCGAGGCGACTTCGGGGGGCCCGCGCGGCGCCCTCCCCGTCGCTCGTCGAGGCGGCTCTGAGGGCCCGTCGCGGCGCCCTCTCTAGTGCCCATCGCGGCGCCCCGGGGGAGGGCCGCGCGGCTCCCTTTCTCGTCGCCCCTCGGGGCGCCCTGGGGGCCGTGCGTTTCCCCCCCCCCCCCCCCCCCCTCCCCCCCCCCCCCCCAGCTCCTCCTACCTCTCACCTGCAGCGGCCGCCCCTGGAGCCGCCCGCCACTGCAGCAGCCGCCCCTGGAGAAGCCCGCACCTGCAGCAGCCGCCCCTGGAGCAGCCCGCACCTGCAGCAGCCGCCCCTGGAGCAGCCCGCACCTGCAGCAGCCGCCTCTGGAGCAGCCAGTGCCTGCAGCAGCCGCCCCAGGACCCGTGCGAGCCGCCCCTGCGGAAGCCCGTCCCGTTTCCCCCCCCCCCCGTGCTGCCCATTGCTCCCATTCCGCCGTGCGTTCCGCGGTGGTGGGGGTGTGGGGTGGCAAGCATGGGGGTGAGAGGTGTGGGTTCTTCCCTCCTCCTTTTTCATCTCCCACTGCTGCAGCTGCCGCTGAGGGGGGTGGAGGTGTGGGAGCTGTGGGGAGTGGAGCTAGGGGGGTGATGAGGGAGTGGAGCTAGGGGTGAAACTGGGGGTGTGTGTAGGGGGGTGTGGGACTGTTTGGGGAGGTTCAGTGGAGGCTGCTGTCTTGTCGTCCGCAGCACCTGTAGTCCGGGGCGCACTGTCGTGGTAGCCCAGAGAGCCTGCTGCGCCTGTCGCCCGTGGGTCCGTTGCTCCTGTAGCTCCTCGTAGCTCGTGAGCCAGTTACTCCAGTAGTCCGGGCAGCTGTCCCGGTAGCCACTGTGCCAGCCGCTCCTGTTGCCCGTGTGTCTGCAGCTTCAGCCGTCGTCTCCCATCTTCTCTCCTCTCACAGTCCCTTCTCCTCCTCACTTGCCCGCTGTGACTACCACTAGCTTTGCTCATAATTGTGAACTTTAAACTGTTGCTTCTTGTAATTGTGCTCAGAATGTGTGGTGACATTGTGATCCACCCTGAGCTTGTTCTTCTTTGCTTACTGTGCTGATTACACCCCACTTTGGCTATGGGGGTGTGTCAGAATATGTTGTTTGTGTAGCCTGCAGTGGGGCACTCAATAGTGAGTACAACCCCTTAGGGTTTGTTATTTTTATCCTGCTGCTTGCTAGTTCCATCATTCCTTCTCAATTCTATTCCTGCACACAATCCTAGCTCGCACTTGGCGCCTCCTCGTTCTAGTCCTACTGTGGCCTAGGCTACTTAGCCTAGGCCGTACTGCTACTATCTTTGACACATTCTGTCATATTTGCAAGACATCAGGGCACCCTCGCACACACTGCCCGAATCGACAGCAGTCAACTCCGCCGCAAAGCCAACTTCGTCCTTCAACTAGTCAAGTGGCATCCACACAGGCGCACCCCCCGAGTCAACTCCAGTCCTCAATGACATCAACGACGCAATCTGCACAAGGAGCAAGAAACATCGTCAGCTGCATCGCAAGATTAACCGATTCCTGCATCACCGAATCACCACCGCATTACTCACCAGAAGAGCAACGCAATAATAGCACCCCTCGTCGTGAATCACTTCAGCCGAACCCGACGTACGCAGCCATCGCCCAAAGCGAGCCGTCCGGGAAAGATGCCTGGTTCTTGGATAGTTGCTGCGGACAACACATGTGCTCCTCGGGTCGTTTCGTCCAACGAGAACATCAACTCCAACGCGAAGTCATAATCACCGTCGCCAACAACCAAAACCTGCGCACAAGACGACAAGGCATAGTTCAACTTCAGTCACGGGAGACGAACGTTATACCGCAGATGTCAAAAGTTTTAATCGCGGAGGGACTCGGCTACAACTTACTCAGTGTCAGTCAGCTGATGGCGAAAGGCATTCACCTCGAAGCAGACAACACCAACCAAGAATTCAAGGTGTACCACGGGAGAGGCGGACTCTATATCGCGAAAGCGGTGTTGAAGAACAACGTCTTCGTCCTCGAATTCGTTCTGGACTTAGGCACCGCCGACAGCGACGCCATCGACAACTTTACTATTTGGACACACCTGCCGGATCTTGATCCCGACTTCAGTCCGAGCGGCTTCTGGCATTCGCACACTATACCTGAGGCAGAATGAACAAGGTCATTAGCAACGATTCAACACAAGGCAGCAGCAGAGACAACACCGGCAGCAGCAGAAACAACAACGGCAGCAGCAGAGACAACAACGGCAGCAGCAGAGACAACACCGACACCACTCGCTGGCCCCTCAACGGCACCGGTCTTCGTTGACGACACTCCTCCGACACCTGTGCAACAACTGGCTCCTGCTCAACAAGAAGTTCATCGAAGCGCCAACTTCACTGCTGGCTTCTACTCAAACTCCGACGTGAGCAGGCGCTCACCCGGACATCGCGCCGACGCAGATATCTGGCATGCACGAATGGGACATCCAAGCAACACGGTGTTAAATAACACGATCAAAGCGGGCGTGCTTGACAAAGACTCACTGCTTCTAACCAACGGAAGCAAACTTCGACGAGCCCGCAGAACGTGCTTTACTTGCCCCGAAGCCGACTTACCGCATCAGCCGTTCGTATCTCACCACAATCCTAGTGCTCCAACTTACGCGCCTCTGGAGAAAGTGTACAGCGACATCCTGTACAATCGCGAACCTGGACAAGGAGCATTTGTTACACCATCACGTTCATCGACGCCGCCACTCGCTATGACTGGCATCTCAACCTTCCAAGCCGCGACATGGCCTTCGAAGCCTTCGTTGCCTGGCTCCCAGTAGCAGAACGGGAATCAGGAGTTCAGCTAAAGAGCTTCCAGTCTGACGGGGGGGGAGAATACACCTCACAGAGGTTCAAGCAGTACTTGGTAGAGAGAGGAATCAAACGTTGGTTGCAATAAGCCGCGTCTTTCATTTGAGCTTTTTCCTCCGCCGATGTGTCCCCTGCCGTTGCATCGCTCGTCCAGGTCCTCTACCCGCCGCCCCACCCTGCAGGGTTGCCAAGGCTGATTGAAAGGTTCGGCAAAAGAGAGCAGGCTTGGCAGCGAAGGGAGAGGAGGGGGAGGGAGGGGAAGAGGGAGACAGTGAGGAGCGGCGGAACAAGGAGGTGGGGGGGGAGGCGAAGCGCAGGCGTAAGCAGGAGGGGCGCGCGGAGAGGCGCACGCGGCAGAAGGGGGCGGCGGAAGGGGCAGACGAGGCGGCGGGCTCTTTGGTAACCGCAGAAGCAAGGGACAGTGCTCGAGAGGGGTCGGATGGGGAGGAGGCGAGGGCCGGCGATGGCGAGGGGGAGGGAGGGGCGCTGGGGAAGGGCGCGGTGGAGGGGGGTGACTTTCTTCTCGCTGACGTGATTGCTGCCGTCACACTGCGCCAGCACCCCAGGTGAGCTCACAGTATGGGGATGCTTTGGAAGATAGGGAATGGGACGGGGGAGTAGGGGGTCCGCAAGGGATAGGGGAATCTATATCCCTTGGATCGGTGATGGTGGTGAAAATCACTATGATATCGTCTTAACCCACACTCCATGCTGCCTTTCCTCACCTTCTTTCCTTCACTCTAACGTTACCCCCCCCAAACCTCCATACGCCATTCTCTGCCTCTCCTCCAACCATAGCCTCAGTCAACCCATTGCCCCCACCTGCGCCCTCTCCATCCCCCATACTGCACTATGACAGCATTGTAGTGGTCCAACCAAAGCCACCTGCTGCATTGCCCCAACCCCTTTCTCCTCTGCACAACCCTCTCATTGCACTTCCCATCCCCCCCTCCCGCTCATCCCCCTCTTCTCCCCCTGGTTTTCGAGCAGGTCCGACGGGGCCATAGTGATCCAGGCGGGGGCGACGGCCCCAGAGGGCGAGGAGGAAGCGCGGGCCATCATGCGCGCCACGCTGAGCTTTCGGCTCAGGGTAATGTTTAGGCGGCGGCAGCGGTCGGTGGCGGCTCTGGGGTTTGTGGACCCCAAGGCGCTCAAGGTGGCAGGGCAGTGGTGCGCCCACAAGCACCTCGTGGCCGAAGGTGCTGGCACGTAGGGGGGTGTGGGGGCGCGGAGGGCGGGCGGCAAGACGAAGGGGCGGGGCCATGGTGGCGGGCAAGGTGGGCGACGATGAGGGGATGAGGATGTCAGTAGATCTGCACTGTGGATGCCCGATTGATCCTGGAGAGGGTTACAGGCGCGTTCGCCTGGGGGGTTATGGGCGCACTCACCCGCTACTGAAACAATCCCTTTTATCCCAATGGTCTAGTGGTTGGGATTCTGACATGGTATCAGAGCGGTCTCGGGTTCGATTCCCGGTGTATGCACATGTAGGCCGTTGCCGCTGTGCTTAGTTCTGGGCCTCCCAGTGTGGGGGGGTGTCAGTAGATCTGCACTGTGGATGCCCGATTGATCCTGGAGAGGGTTACAGGCGCGTTCGCCTGGGGGGTTATGGGCGCACTCACCCGCTACTTAAACAAGCCCTTTTATCCCAATGGTCTAGTGGTTGGGATTCTGACAGAGGAGATGAAGGGATGCTATGTAGTGTGGGTGGGAGTTTGAGGGAGGCCAAGGGGAGCAGAGGCGAAGGGAGGTGGTGTGATGGTGGAGCGGAATGATCATGGAGTTGGATTCAGAGCAGGTTGGCGAGATCTCCACTGTAGCTATTGTCCCAATTGGTCCCAACATGCCTCTATTGGTCCTGACATGCCTGTATTGGTCCCGACATGCCTCTATTGGAATAGGTCCCGATTGCACACTGAGAACACATGGTGGTGGTGGGCTACATACGACCGCAAGGTCGGATGCAAGTATGTATACTGTTTTGCATCGATAGAACAGAGGAAGGGAATTTTTGAAAATAATATTTCATTTGGCTTCTGGCAATCATGACGTACTGACATTTGGAAACATTGCATTCCTTGCATGATTTGCATCCGCCGGCCACAAATTGTTTATCGTCACCCCCCGGATATAAGCGCAGGCCTCGGATAAGCGCCCAGTGCTTATAATGAGCATATGGCGCTTATATCCGGTCCTCGATTATAAGCGCATACTTTTGGGCTTACGGATTATAAGCGCATACTCCTGGCTTACAGATTGTCAGTGCCACCTGTTTTTAATGATTTTACTAATTAGCATGTTTTCAATATACTTTACATCACAGTAGTTCACTAAAACAATTTCATATCTACGGCTACTTTCTAAAACATACAAGATATCTACCTACGAGGGCCAAATACAGGCTACAGAAGATGTCCTACATCTACTCTAGTTATCAGCTGTGGTGGGGTCATCTGGGTCCCGGAGTCCGACTCAGGCTCCTCAACATTGTTGCAGCAGAACCCATCTGCTGCAATCTCATCATCCATCTCGACTTCGCCCTCGAGCTCGTCCCGCCTGTGTTGCAGGCAGAGCTTGTCCTGAGACCCATCCAGGGCGTTGCTGATGCTGCACGTGAGAAATGCCCGTTGGAAATTGCAGCAAGTTTCAACAACACTTGTGTTGGTGGCATAAAAGAAAAAACTATAGCAGCTAAATGGGCAGGCATTAAGGAAATCATCCTAAATGCTGGGAATAAAAATGATGTCCAGGAGATTAAATTAAGCTATCTAATTGGAATCACCTTCCATTATGTACTTACCGTTGAAGAAGTAATTTCGTCTGCTTTGCAGAAAAAAGTGGCAAAAAATGTGATACGGCTATTGTAGAGTTCCTTGGGCACAGACTTCCACTTGAGCGTCGGCTCGGGTGGTGGCTTCTTTATATTGCCTGCCATGAAATACCAGACAACAAGAGTCAGAAGGGTTAATAAAACCGGTAAACAAACAAACATATGGGCGGCATGTCTCACCTACGGCACCGATGCGGTCGGGCTCGGGCAGGTAAGCGTCGAACGCTGAGCAGCCAGGAGGGAGGAGAAGCTGCAGAACCCCCTGATGTGGAACACCGATGACAGGCGGATCAGGAGGGGACCAAAGAACGGGAGGAACGGGAGGCGCCGGGGGAGTCGGAGAGTTAGGAGGTGTTGGAAGAGTGAAAGGAACGGGAGGCACGACTGGGTGTGTTGGAGGGACAGGCGCAGGGCGCCTCTACCATTGCGAATAGTCATGGTTGTCTCTGTTGGAAACAAGTAATTTAAGCGCTTCTGTTGTGTGTCGAAACACTGAGTCGCAAACGAGGCGAAGCACAACGAAGCATCGGCAAGTCAACACTTGGAGGTTGAGAAGAAAAGCAACCGCTGGAGGTTACGCGAAAGTCAAAGGTCAGCGACCTTTAACCTGACAAATACAGCGCGGCAGCAAGGACAAACAACTGACTCGTTACTAAGCAGTTGTCCGAGTCGGCACTGTATCGAACCGCAACAGCAACAGTAAAACAGTTATTAGTTGTATCTCTTCGTATTCCTTGTACTCTTATAAAAGCCTTATATTTCCTTGTCTTAATCAATTTACTTTGCCCTCACATACCAGCGCAAGGTGGTTCAAGGACTTATCAGTAAACGCTTCCGCTATTACAACTTCCTGCTCAGAGTTTAGCCCTGCAAAGATCCTAAGGGATTTTTCTCAGCCCAACATGGTATGAGAGCTATCAGGGCAAACTCAACCACTATCAAGACACCTACAACAACAGAAGGCATGGCAACACAAAAGGAGAGAAGTTCCTGTAATGGTTCTCCCGGCACTACTCCTACCCCACCTCCTGCCTCTGGCCTACAGACAGAGGAGGGCACGGCAACAAAACAAGCAGCTAGGTCCCCCGAAACTCCCGCAAATCGAGCCGCGGGCTTCGACCCAAGCATGATGGAGAAGTTCTTCTCCTTCATGTCCTTCTACGAACAACACCAGCAAGGGGCACCTGCGCAGTCAAACATCAGCAACAACAACTACGATGTGACACCGATGAGTCTCGACGGTTCATCCTACGCGCGAGGAAATCAGCAACAGCAACCTACCTTTGCCCCGTACGAACCCCAGCGCGGTTCCGTCAGCTTCATGCCGCGCCAGCAGCCTTCACCTAAGCAAGAGAAGACATTGGATGCACTTCACGTTCGGTCGCAGTTTGCACACGTCCTAAAACTGCAAACGTCAAGGCCATTCGACGGTAAAGAATTCTTTACCTGGTCATTCGAGTTCGAGCTGATGATGGAAGGCGCGCAAATACTTGGATTCTTCGACGGGTCCCTGCCATACCCAACACACGGGACGCAATATGACAAGCAGCAGTACAGATATCAGTCCATGATGGGGTACACAATTCTACTGCGCAACATTACACCGAACCAGCAGCAGAACATCCGGTCCTATCGGGGATACGGCAACTCCGCCGAGCTTGCGTACAACCACTTGAAGAACCTGTATCAAGCAACAGACAGCGTCTATCAGAGTCGTTTAATGGCACAGCTGACAACAGTGGAAATGAAGCCTGGCGAAAAGGGAATGGCGTATATCAACCGTTGTCGCGAATTGCGCGACAAACTTCTTCGATGCGGAGGCTCAATATCTGAAGACGCCTTTGTGGCAGTCATCATCGGCGGCCTCGGTCCTCAATGGCACTCCACACGAGCCATCCTCCGAGCCCACGGGAAAATATCTGAAGCAGCACTTTGCGCCGAGATTCACGCTGAGCAGCAAAACATGGACATGCAAGAGGAGCGGCACAAGAAGAACAAGTCAGTACCCGAGTTTGCGTTCAACACTCAACGGCGCTACAACAACAACAACAACCAGCACCAATTAAAACCCGTACCTCCATTTTGTCAGAATATGTTGTTTGTGTAGCCTGCAGTGGGGCACTCAATAGTGAGTACAGCCCCTTAGGGTTTGTTATTTGTATCCTGCTGCTTGCTAGTTCCATCATTCCTTCTCAATTCTATTCGTGCACACAATCCTAGCTCGCACTTGGCGCCTCCTCGTTCTAGTCCTACTGTGGCCTAGGCTTCTAAGCCTAGGCCGTACTGCTACTATCTTTGACATGGTATCAGAGGGCGGCATGTCTGCCGCCTTCCTGTGTATGGGCCCACCACCCGCTTCCGCTGCCGTACTGTCCGCCGCGCGCCACGTGGTGCGCGGCGGCGAAACCCTAATTTCTGCCCGCCGCGCGCTCGGGGCGCCTGGCGGGTTTCCCTTCCGTGGCGCCCGTCGTGGTGCTCTTGGGGGGGCCTCCGCGGTCCCCTCCCGTCGAAGCGCCCGTCGAGGCGCTCTCGGAGACCCGCGCGGCCTCCCCTCCCGTCGCCCGTCGAGGCGACCTCGGGGACCCGCGCGGCCTCCCCTCCCGTCGCCCGTCGAGGCGACCTTGGGGGCCCGCGCGGCCTCCCCACCAGTCGCCCGGCGTGGCGACCACGGGGGCCGTGCGCGGCGCCCTCCCCGTCACCCGTCAAGGCGACTTCGGGGGCCGTGCGCGGCCCTCCCCGTCGCCCGTCGAGGCGACTTCGGGGGGCCCGCGCGGCGCCCTCCCCGTCGCCCGTCGAGGCGACTTCGGGGGGCCCGCGCGGCGCCCTCCCCGTCGCTCGTCGAGGCGGCTCTGAGGGCCCGTCGCGGCGCCCTCTCTAGTGCCCATCGCGGCGCCCCGGGGGAGGGCCGCGCGGCTCCCTTTCTCGTCGCCCCTCGGGGCGCCCTGGGGGCCGTGCGTTTCCCCCCCCCCCCCCCCCCTCCCCCCCCCCCCCCAGCTCCTCCTACCTCTCACCTGCAGCGGCCGCCCCTGGAGCCGCCCGCCACTGCAGCAGCCGCCCCTGGAGCAGCCCGCACCTGCAGCAGCCGCCCCTGGAGCAGCCCGCACCTGCAGCAGCCGCCCCTGGAGCAGCCCGCACCTGCAGCAGCCGCCTCTGGAGCAGCCAGTGCCTGCAGCAGCCGCCCCAGGACCCGTGCGAGCCGCCCCTGCGGAAGCCCGTCCCGTTTCCCCCCCCCCCCGTGCTGCCCATTGCTCCCATTCCGCCGTGCGTTCCGCGGTGGTGGGGGTGTGGGGTGGCAAGCATGGGGGTGAGAGGTGTGGGTTCTTCCCTCCTCCTTTTTCATCTCCCACTGCTGCAGCTGCCGCTGAGGGGGGTGGAGGTGTGGG